TCTTTTATTTGACTGTCTAGCCAATGTATTCAGCTATGTGTGTTCAGGCTGGAAATTTCCTTAGGTAGTTAACTTAAACCCTTTATTAACGACATCTGGATAGTTTTGAATTAACAAACATCGGTGGTGACTTTTTGTTTACATTTTACATTGATCACTCTTCATCTAATTTTTTTGTTAAAATCAGTTCTTCATTAGAAAGAAAATAGTTTATTTGTTTTGGTTCACACATACCTTAATTGCTCATTAGAATATTTACCTCCTGTAAGGGTTAGTGTTGCGAATCGATACTCTGCCTCTGTGGTACCAGCGTCATTCAGTGCTGTCACCAAAAGGTCGTACCATGTGCCTGGGTGGAGGTCACTTATAACCACCCTCTTCTGATCTGGAATCACGTGGTTAGACAACAGTATCCACTCTCTATGAGACTGAGGTTTATACTGAATGACAAAATATTGCAAACGACAGCCGCCATCTTTCCATGCTTGAAGGTTAAGTGTTGCGGCTGAACTATTCGTTGTGATAAAACTCCTCATCTCTGGTGCTTTTGGTTCTGCCAGAAATGCACGAAAAGTAAATGATAAACATTGTTAAAATTACGGTTCAAAGTTCAAACTTAAATCGTTGTTCTGGAATGTTCTTATTATACAGTCCTGAGTGATACGATTTTCTCTCAAAACAAATATCAAACCAATCGAAAAATAAATAATATAAGGTGTCTAGATTTCGGCATATTTTACAATCCAGAGTCAATACCTTTCATCATAAACGGTTTATACACTATATCAACATGTTAAGATGTCCATATTGAGAGATGTTCATAAAATACATAAAAATGTTTTTAATAAACTCTGTTATAGCTGTCATCTGTTAATCAAAAATGTGTTATTTTATTTTTGAAACACATATTTTGCGAAAAAATATTATCTGTAGCTCTTTGATAAAACAAGTTGTTTATGAATGATCAACCGCCATCTAGAGGCAGAATGGATAACAAATTAATATTTTTTTCTGAATATGTTTTGCAATAAAAATCAAACTAAAATAATTTTACTACTTTTTTTGTAATGTTTTCAACCAATAAACTAAAAAAAATTTCAAAATTTACTGTATGGAAGATATACAAGGAGCAGAGGTACACACATATATATGCCATTAAGCCTATTCACGTGAAATTCAAAATAAAGCAAACCATTTTTGATTAGTGAAATATCAGAAACAAAAAGCAATGAACCAATTTTCTATTTATTACTCCTTAAACTAATAGATTGAAATAACTATATCTTCATAGTATTTTGTGAACCAGAGGAATAGTCTATTCTCTTGAAGACTTGACATTTTGCTTAAAACTGCTAATTGCACAATATTCAGCTTTTGAAAGTTTACCTGCGATCTTGACGAACCTCACCAAAATGTGATCTATTTAGAAACCTTAAATCCGCCTTAAACATACCTAATATTTTAAAATATTTTTTAACTTTGACTTACAGTAGTAAAACGCTAAGCACGGAAATCTCGTATTAAGAAACATTGATACTTTTTGTTTTCTTGATGTAAAAACAATAACCGAGAAATACATTTTGACAATGAATTAACATACCATTATTAGAAAGTTTTCAGTTCTAAATAAAGCCGTGTAATTATTTCTATTTTTATATATCTATAATTGATCAGACTTTACCCGTAAAATATATACCTTCAAATTTATCTTTGTTTCTTTATTTTTAAATTAATTCTTCCTAAGTAATCAACATATTCTTCTGTTTTTTAATACAATAAAAGTTTTAAATATATATATATATATATATTATTAATTTCTGAAGAGAAGATCTACAGCAGTATAACAATAATATCAAACACGTGAAAAACTATTTAAAAAAAGATCCAGAAGTAAAAACCACACATTTTCACACGTTTTAAAATAATAAACGTGTACAAGAAAAGTCGATATCTTGAATTTTGCATGAAGTAACGGTTACATCTTTTATCTGACTAGATATTCAGGGTTCGGTGTAGATAAAAGTAAAATAGAACGATATTTAAAAGGTATTGTGAATGTGTTTTACCATTTCCTTTTAATGTAACTTTAATAACATCACTTGGATCGCTTCTTCCAACGTCATTAAAGGCAGTTAGAAACGCCTGGTAGGCTGCTCCACAACGAAGATTATCCAATATATAACTGTTCAAATCAGGTGATATCTCTATATCTTTCCAAGCATTAGAGCCTTCCTTATAATTCAGGACAAATCCTGCAAATTTAATGATGAAGAAGAATAAAGTTTAGTTACAAATGAGGTAAAATGACAGTGATATGAAAACCGTAAGGTTCTTTACTTCAAATTACTATCCTTTTTATGTCGTTTATTTCGATATAAAGAACATTATAATGAATATTAAAGTTTTTAATTCTGGATTGTCTCAGCCAAGATATTTTAGCATTTCTAATACAAAGTAGCATTGTATCTTTTCTGTTCCATGCACGCGTTCAAATAGTAAGAAATATATATATTTTTGAATGTAGTTTTTAACGCCGATTTCAAAAATATAAATTAAAATTTGGAGAAATGAAAAGAATTTGCTTACGAAACAAAAGAAATACTTTTAGCATTACATACATACCTATGTATTTAAAAGAACTGCAAGACATCAAGATAATCCAAAGTATTTCAGTGTGAAAATTCAGTAATATTCTTAAATATTCATCATTTTCATGCATACGACGCCAAACGAACTCGCAGAGATACGATAAAAAAATTAAATATATTTTTAATTAAATAAACATGTAATTATTTCTAATTAGTCTAACCTTATCTAACCTCATATAAACTGACCCAACCTAGCAAAATAAAAAAATATTTAAAATATTTCTTTTCATTTATCCAAATTTTAATTTATATTTCTGAAATCATCATTAAAAACTATATTCAAAAATATATATTTCTTTCTATTTGAACGCGGTTTTGAAACGGAAAAGATCCGAAGCACTTTTTGATGAAATATATTTTATGAAATTTTCTGTGGAATGATAATAAATAAATAAATATATATATATAGACTAATGGTTTTCAAACGAGACCCTAAACTCGAGGACTACTTTCAAATAGTGAACTATTCGAAAGCTCTCGAGTTTTGGTTCTCGTTTGAAAGCCATTACAACTTTTGTGTGTGATCCTGTGTGCTAACTTCTTGATCCGGATATACATAAACTATATATTTAATAAACCTCGTAGTTCAGTTTTAGAGCATTTTTTTCATCGTTTTGTAAACATTAAGTATCGGTATTAGTTTTCAATTTCTTCTAAATGACGGTCAATTATAATAAAAAACATATTTCTATTTAAAACATTCTAGCTGTTATTTCTTATAAACAGCAGATAATATTAAAGATTTGAAGTGATTTCAGCTCCATACTGTCTACTTAAATCTAAAAAGGCCAGCATTTGTCTTCGCAGTTAATTTTTTAACATCGTAATCTATAAACAACAACACACACTTAATTCAAATAGAATGAATAATTTAACGTACCTCGAGCTGGCGTATTTTCTTCCGTTTTCAACTGCCACGCCAACCTTAAACTTGTAGAGGTCGAAGCCGCAATACGCAAAATAGGGGTATGAGGCGGGTCTACAGGATTCGAAAAATAAAAAAAGTAAATCATATTTTACTACTTATTAGTACGTGTTTCAGACTGAAAAGAAAATTGGTTAGTTGTACGTTATGTTTTTTTTTTAATAAATAGCAATATTTATCTCACAATTTCTTCAAGTCAAAGAAATTATTGGACGAAATATTAATAGTAATAATATATATAACTGATCAAAAATTATACATTTAGAAAAATGTTTTAATAAATATTTTATAATAAATTAACTATCACGAATTCTAAAAACACAACCATGAGATCTATTTAAAAATCAAATGAGAGTTTGAATATCGATATTATTTTCTTATCATAACAATATAGATGCCAACTATTACTCTGGCCATCTTAAATCGAGATGAATATAAAGAACAAAATCACAGGCAATAGAATAACAATAAAGGTAGAAAAGCTACTGTTCGACGGATAAGGATTTAATTCTTTACAAAAACGCGTTACTCTTACTTGTTTTTGCATGTGGTATTTTTGTTAAAGTCCACTTGTGGGGCAAAGGTAAGTTTACGGACTTATAACGCTAAAATCAGGGGTTCGATAACCCGCGGTGGACAGCGTGCAGATTGCCGATTGTGTAGCTTTGTACTAAAGTAAACACATATTTGTTGAGCCTGTTTATTTTGAATCGACTTTCAATATTCATAATACGAATCACTGATTCGTATGTGGGAAATTTGTTTAAATTTGATTTCCTTTACATGACAATAAAAATAACCCTACTGTAATTTTGGTATCCCTTTTCACATGAAATAATAATCTTATTTAGCCCATTCTTAAAAAAATGCATTTGAAAAGTATATTTTAAGTTTGTAGTTTAAAATAATTTTAAACTATCTGGTAGAGATTCTATGTAGCTAGTTGAGCGTTAATCCAACACAATGGGCTATCTGCCCTATGCCCACCGAGGGTATAAAACCCCACAATTCTACCATTATTACCCCTCAAGCTTATTACTGAGACACTGGTACGATACAGTATTTGAGCCTAAATGAAACTCACAATATAAAGAAGAACGTAGTGTCAGTAGTTATGAACTACACTTATTTTTGGATCAGTTATGATATTATATTTCACAAAACACATGAATCGTAAAACAGTTATAGGATAGTATCGTTATTTAAATTATAAACATTTTTATTCGACTAAAATAGGATAAATAAAAAACAAAAAAAAGCGTTTTGTCAAAGTTCATCTGGCATCTTTTTTTTATTCTGGCGAAACGTTTTTTTTTTTTAATGTATCTATGTTTTGGAGTATTCCAGTTTTAGATGAATAAACGTTTTTACTATTAACTATATATTATACTTATGGCGAAACTGAGTATCACAGCAACTGATTTTTAGGTCTTGAAATAACTGTTTTGTGGATGTAGGAAACAGTTGTTGTTTTTTTTCAGTTATTTTCAACGTATAGTACATTTTCATCAGAGTTGATAGGAACATGTTTAAATTGGGGAACAGTTAATAAAGGACAAAAACAGCAACAACAAAAAATAGAGTTTAAGGGCGACTAAGAAAATACTTCAATATATTTTGTATCGTCTTCCATTACCGAATTCAAACGTTCTGGCAACCACTTCTTGTGACACGGAACCAGGACCCTGGTCATTGAAAGCTTGGACAACAAAACTATACCGCGTCCATCTCTTCAGATTTCGAATTAGTATTTTCCACTTTCTGTCTGTAGAGTTTGCATATACTGTTCTATTCAAGTTGTAAGGCCCTTTCTGACCATACTCCTTATATCCAACGTAGAAACCATTGATTACGTCACTTGACTGGCCACCCTGCGGGAACTAAGTAGAAATGCTGACATATAATCGTATTCTATTTTTATTTTGCGTTTAACACAATTCATTTTCAAGCACTTGGTTTGCATGTTTTAAGTTTGTCTATGAAAAGCAATCTGCACATAAATAATGTTTTTTAATAAAACTTTCAAAAACGTTTCTTTGTTTAACACTAGAACAACATTTAAGAAATCTTAAGTACTAGGAGACCAATGTTTAACACATTATTTTTGAAAATAGAATGCCTATAAAAATCTATACATTTGTAAACTGGAACGAGGTCTCTATGATCGTACTATAACTGCACAAAACAGTTATAAACTAAGTGAAATATTTGATAGCGTATATGTTGAGGTTACCCGTGGTGGGCAGAGCACAGATAGCCCTTGAGTAGCTTTGTGCATAATTAAAAACAAACAAATATGTTGAGGTAGGCTTTATAAGTTACGCATATTACCTGTTTTGTAAACTGTATTCTACTTTGTCTTTTCATTCTATTTTCATTAACAATGTTGATTAAAATGTTTAATATATGCATATACTACTCCTATTTATATGTTTTTATTATTCATTACTTATCATTCTGTGTTGTTAGCTTAGCAAAAACCTGAATCTCCTATGCTAGCCAAACCTCGTGAGATGTTATTGAGAGTGAGGGCATCCAACTGATCAATCAATGCGTTCTAATCGTTATAAGTTTTGTTTTATAGCTTATCATACAGTAGTTAGAATTACAATGTTGTATATTTACAATTAACTGTATAGGGTTTAGTTCTCATCTTCGTAGTTAGCTTGATTTAACCAGGAGTTAGTGACTTCTCAGCTTTTCATAAGATATTCGCTATTAAACACATTAAACAAAAAATATATTAGTAACACGAATTCAATGTTCATAATATTCTTAAGTTCAGAGACACATTAATATTTGATTATATAACGTTAAGTATCATATTTATTCAGTACAGTGTATTCACTGTAGTTTTTCAGATTGGTTTGAATTTCGCGTGAAGCTACACAAGGTCTATCTGCGCTAGCTGTCCCTAATTTAGAAGTGAAAGACTAGAGAGAAGGCAGCTAGTCATCACCACCCACCGCCAACTCTTGGACTATTATTTTACCAACGATAATTTTACCAAAAATAATAAGAGTTTTACGTTAATTAGAAAAAACAACAACAACCCCATGTTCATGTAAAACTACCTAATGGTTCATCTTCACACTGCGGGTAATCGACCCTCAGATTATAGTGTATATATATGCGTAAACTTACTGCTGTCCCATCTGAGAAAAAAGAAAACAACTAGAAATAATGAAGAGAAGTTGAATCCCTGGCAAGGCAAATCACTGTTTCAAAAGTAATATGAATAACAAATTAATGCAACTAAAGCGAGCGTGACAAACCATAATCATGTAAAGACATAGTTAGGACTACTATAAGGGGTATACTATTGCTTAATCAATTGAAAATAATACTTAATATTACCTTCTGGTCAAACTAAGATACCTTCGTAGTTCGTAACTAAAAATCAACCTATTCACGAACGTAGGTAATTATATTGCCCTTACGTTCTTACGTAAGATTAGAATGCGTTATCTTATAAGTTGGATACCCTCGCTATTAGTGATATTTTCGGCCGTAAATCCAATATTATCTCACAAGGTTCGGACAGCTTAGGAGATTTTCCATTTTCCCATATACTAGGCTAAAATGCAAAATAATAAGTACGCACCCTCATATTTCTGTTCAGGCCCAGATCAAGATTGTATGGGCGCAAAGTTAACCATTTTAACCATTTCTCTATAATTTCTAAGTGTTACAGTTGAAGTTGAAATTTGCAGGAAGTATAGATAAATCTTTAATCGTACCATATTAGCACCAAAATAATAAAATATGGAAACTGAAAACTTACATCCCAGGACAGTTGCACAGTGCTGGTATCTACAGTAACTGCTGTGACGTCACTTGGTATGCTTCTTGGCGCTAGAACAGAAATACGAACACCATATGATAAACGAAATACTACTTAGAATTAAAAAACAACAACATAAAACTTGAAAATATTCATAGCTTGAAATACAAAATAAATCCCTCAATAATTATCTGACAAAAACCTCCCATATTGTCAACCGCTTATTGAAAACTAATATATTTTTTTCAATTTCCTTGTCTACTTAAAATAAAATACTCGTCGTAATTTGAATTTTTACCAACAGATGGCGGACATAAGACATTAATTTTGGAATCGCGGCGGGAAGCTTAGTTTATAAATTATATATGTTGGAGCAGGTACATCTATACATATATACTTATTTCTTAAACTATTTTTATATGAACTTTTATTTGGATCAAATGTCATCTACTGAGATCAAATTGTGCCAAATTCAGTGATGTTTTCTTAAGGGCAACTAAATTATCTCCTTCAGTATGAAAATATATTTTCAGAATTTATTTATTTGCCGGTCCTGTTTTCAAAGAAAGCCCTTAATTAATGGTCTGTAATTGTTTTATTTTGTTAATTAACTTTCTTTTTTAATGGGATTGACTGTCACATTATAACGTTCCCACGGCTGAAAGGGCGAGCATGTTTGATGGAACGGGGATTCGAACCCGCAACCCTCAGATTGCGAGTCGAGCGCCCTAACCACCTCTCCATGCCAGGTCTAACTTTTAATTAACTCTTACCCTACATTTCGGACGTATTAATTTGCTACAGTCTTCAGATTTGCAGTTTTGGGAATCTATTACTGAGATTCGGACCTGGATCCTAGGAGCAGGAGGCTGGTTTGTTAGACATTAATAGTGATTTTCGCTATTGATAAGGAAGATGTGTTAACTTCAGTGTTTGGTTTCTTTAGACTTTTAGAGGATTAATGGTTATGTGGATGACGTATGTACCAGTGTTCGCATTTGAAGCTTTGAACCAATAGGTTTAATATTTATGATTAAAGTCACGAATGGCTCGTAGCTACTGTTTTGGCACAGAGGTGCCGTTCCTTGCTATTGTAAATTGTCAAATTGTGTATGGAAAATAAACAATACAATTTCTATTATACACTATCTACACTGATCACACTAATGCTGTCTTTGGACGACGGTAACGTTGTCATTTTTATACATCGCTATGTCAATTTGCCACTAACATTTTAAAATCAGATAAATAATCTAAGGTTATACTATGCCTCAGAAAATGTAAATGAGTAATAATATACCGAGTTACTCAACTTCACTTGTCACCAGGAAGTTAATGTTAAAAATGAAAATTGCGTTCTATTAGTCTTAATATTCGTGATAAAAATCATGCTAAATTTTTTTTCACATTTCTCTTAATTAGCTCAATGAGATTTCGTAGCGCTTCAGATATGGCGATCTTTTGTTCTGTATTACAGTTGGACTATGATGTCAGACAAAAGCCTATCTGTAACCTATATAATTACATGCACTAGAATGTTAAACATCTAAAGTTTGCAAAGCATTTGAAGCTTTGAACCAATAAGTTTAATATTTATGATTAAAGTCACGTTTAATTGTAGACAGTTTTTTTTTGTTTCACATTTCTCTTAATTAGTCCCTTATGGATTTCAAAGTAGAGTTGCATGGAAGCAATATTTCACCCCATTTTTTCTCTCTAATTTGAAATCCTTCATGGACTAATTAAGACGAATGTGGAAAATAAGCGCTTGCTGTTTAACGAGATTTTTAGGCCTACTGATTTGTCAGCTTTCAACTTTAATAGCACCGTAACATTAAATTGAGTACTACTGACTGTTGTTGAAGACAACTAACAATGCCTTCCTAATCCTAATTGTAAGTATTCATGCTATATAAAAAAACAACAAAATACTGTCAGTGTACCTATTATAAGGTGTTTTTGCAAACACAAAGTAAATGTTGGAGAAAATATCACAAAAGTAATTAAAGCTCAGGTAGTAATGGAATAAAAGGAAAAGATAAATACATATAAGGTACATATTATGTACGTTTATCTCATCTGTTAGTCCATCTTGTCATTTGAAATATATGAGCATATACAAGAAGCCGTTGTGACAATAATTACTTTACAACCAGGTACACAAATGTTTTGTTATTTTATAGCGTGAGTTATATAATACTTACATCTTAAGTCTCTAGTTCAAAGAAAATCCTTATTGATCAGTTGTTTGTTCGCGTATATTCTAACGTGTTCTTTCTGGTCGCCCTCAAGTGAAATAACATTTAACACTTAGTAGGCTTTAAAAAGAAGCTATTGAACGAAAACTGTAAATAAAATTACTAATGAAGTTGTACGACTTGCTTAATAGCACAAAGTAACATTTATGCTTACATTAAATTCGCAAAAGCAGTTTCTAAAGTCATTTGAATTTCAGATGACACATCAAGCACATCCATTCACGTTACTTCTTCTGCAAACTAAGTAATTACAACACACCACCTTACAACACACATCCTTGAATTATAAGTCTCCTAAACTGACTAGTCTGTAGTGGGAATCATTTAACGAAAAAAAATTTATGTAAATAATTCATCCAGGATGGTTTGTTTGTTTTGAATTTCGCTCAAAGCTACACGAGGGATATCTGCGGTACCCGTCCCTAATTTAGCACTGTAAGACTAAAGGGAAGACAGCCATCGCCAACTCTTAGGGCTACTCTTTTACCAACGACCGTCACATTATAACGCCCCCACGACTAAAAGGGGAGTATGTTCGGTGTGACGGGGATTCGAACCCTCGAACCTCAGATTGGAAGATGAGCGCCCTAACCACCTGGCTATGCCCGGCCCCATAGACGATGGTCTTTAACAAAAAATTAGCTTTGAGTTCTGAATGTTTTTATATAGTTTCGTTTCATTTGTTACATTACTTTATTAAAATGATGTGTTTTTAAGTAAGGCATACGTTTTCGCTGAAAATTTGTAGTTGAAAAAAACTAACCTTCGATTCCTGTTGTAAACTTCACTTCTTTTCCTGGATTACTGATTCCAATAGAGTTTTCAGCTGTGACTGTGAAGTAATACGTCGTTCTGGGCTCAAGACCACTTATAGTCGCCGAGTTCTGCGAAGCAGGTGCTGTTAGTTCCCTCTTGCTATCGCTCCATTCTTCTAAAGGTCGTGTAAAAATAACTTTTACTTATCTGTGTGGTGTTACATGTATCTTACAAATGCAGGTGCTTATTACAGTATTCATTATGATAGAATAACCTGACTAAATCGCAAAGTTTAATTTGTCCGTTTTGAAGTGTTATGCAAGTAATGTTTTTTTTATATATTTCGTGTGATGAGTGATTCATTTTTCATTTTAAAATCTTTTCCACTACCGCTTTCTTGATGCAATTTTAATATTTTGTGTGATTTATATAGAATCCAAGGTCTTTAAACTAATATTTGAGTGCTGAGCAAGTGATAAAATAGTTAAGTTAGGGCAATAAACCAAGTATTTTGAGTATAACAGTGGTCTTTAATGTGAAAAGTATTTTTTATGAATTAGAAATGAATATAATAGAAATTTTAAAAGAACTAAATTTAATAGGACTAATTTTTATTATAAATTTTCAAATCCATTCGAATTAGGTAATAACGATAATTGAAAGTGACTGTAAATCTGTAGTCTACCTTAAAAGAATTCTGGTTTTACTTGAAATTAATAAGTAAAATCAACTGAATGTAGTCGTTTTTAGACAACTGTAACGATATTAATTGGCATTTTACGGATCCTACCAGTAAACGAAAACTTTCATAAAATATTAGCGCAAAATCCTTTATTTGCACGATAAACAAATATCTTCAACGACAACATTTAAAATCACTGTAAGTTGTTAGAGCAACAGCAAAATAATGACAAAATCCTTTATTTGCACGCTAAACAAAGTTCTTCAACAACAACATTTAAAATCACTGTAAGTTGTTAGAGCAACAGCAAAATAATGACAAAATCCTTTATTTGCACGATAAACAAATTTCTTCAACGACAACATTTAAAATCACTGTAAGTTGTTAGAGCAACAGAAAAATAATGTCAAAATCCTTTATTTGCACGATAAACAAATTTCTTCAACGATAACATTTAAAATCACTGTAAGTTGTTACAGCAACAGCAAAATAATGACAAAATCCTTTATTTGCACGATAAACAAATTTCTTCAACGACAACATTTAAAATCATTGTAAGTTGTTACAGCAATAACAAAATAATGACAAATGCATCAGATACTAACTATTAAGGACTGATTCATTATTAACCAAATGTAAAGCTTTTAATCGTACAAACTTAGAGAAAATTACTACAAACCTTTGGCAGTTCGATAAGCGATAGTGTAAGAGGTGATTGCACTATTTCCAGCATACGGCTCAGACCATTTTAAAGCTACAGTGGTGCTGGTTACACGATTTACTTTAATTCCACTAGGTGGATCAGGGATTTCTGAACATAGAGAAATGGTAATAGATGGTAGTAAATGACTATTCCTTTAAAAGTCTTATATAGTGGTAACATAAATATAATTCTGATAAACTATATACAAAAAATACACATTTTATCCAGCATTTTTACATACTCTATATTCTTAACAAGTAGATACATTCCAAACTGTAGTTAATGATTCTAAATAATTATCATAAAGTTGTTGTTTTAACACAAAGCTACACAATGGGCTATCTCCACTCTGTCCACCCCGGGAAATCGAACCTTAGATTTTAGCATTGTAAGTCGGTAAACTTATTGCTGATCCACTGGAGAACCATACTTTAACAACATAAACTCGACTCCATTTGTTATCAATAGGATGATATGTCAAAAAGTGAGATTTCATCTCATGTAACGATATGTAGCATTAGCGATATTATATACTGTATTCGGAAATTTAACTATCTTACTTGAAGCGTATATTGCAGAAGCTGATTTTTACTCTATTCTAAAGACAGCTTTTGGACATCAATATAGAGGATCCGTATAGACTTATTTATACTGGCAAGAAAGAAATATAATACGTTTATCACGTGCACTACTTACGACAACTCAAAGCACAGAAGAGTAACGCGCGAAATAAAAATGATGCATTATGAGAAGCTATAATAAAATGTATTAGTTTGCTATGACCCAAAGAAACTTGTAGACATTTCTCACATTGAAAGATTTGGTTCCATCGACTTATTTTTTTTCTATTCAGTAATAGAAAGTTTTCGCATGTTATAAATTTACAGACGTAGTTGTTTGAATGTGACTTAATTAAATGCAATACATCGTAATACGATTCGGTTCGTTTTGTTTTAAATTTTGCGCAAAGCTACGCGAAGGCCATCTGCGTTAGCCGTCTCTAATTTAGCAGTGATAGTCTATAGGAAAGGCAGCTAGTCAACACCACCCATCGCCAACTTTTGAGATACTCTTTTTATCAACTAATAGTGAGATTGATCGTCACATTATAGCGTCCCCACGGCTGAAAGGGCGAACATGTTCCGTGATGGGGATTCAAACTCGCGACCCACAGGCTAACTCTTTAACTACCAGGCCAAGCCAGGCCCCAGTACCAACACGCGAACTGTAACGAATATTGTACAAAGAGTTTGTTTCATAATTTTCCTGCAAAGCTACACGAAAGGATGTCTGTGTTTAACCATCTCAAATTTTGAACCAATAGAATAAAGGAAAGACAACTAATCAACAGATCCCACCGCTATCTGTTGGTCTACTCTTGTCTAACCAAATATCCAGATTTAGCTAAACACTTTTATAGCGCTTCCATGACATCAGAGTGCGGAGCACGTTTTTGCGACAAATATATGCGAGCTATAAAACCTAGAATTTACTGTGTGAGTAATCTAATGACTAGGTCACTCCCAGCTCTGGAGAAAAAGTATTATTTAAAACCGAAACCTTTTATCGCTAAAAAATTAAACCATTTTTAACTGCTTTTTCTGTTTTCGCAGGTTTTTGCTAGTAAATTTTACTTACCTTTGACTATCACGTCAAATGTTTTACTGTCCGTTCCGTAAGGGTTGCTTGCTATACATGTAAATACAGTTGAGTCTTTTCTTTCCACTGAGGTTATTCTTAACGTTGATAACTTGATGCTACCAAAATCTTGAAGATCTAAAATTTTGTACCTAGAAAGAAGAACATACAATAGTTTTAATGTTCTTTACACAACTTTAACTATAATAGTTTTATGTTCTTTGCACAGCTATAACTATAATAGTTTTTATGTTCTTTACACCGCTATAACTATAATAGTTTTATGTTCTTCGCACAGCTATAACTATAATAGTTTTTATGTTCTTTACAACGCTATAACTATAATAGTTTTTATGTTCTTTACACCGCTATAACTATAATAGTTTTATGTTCTTTACACCGCTATAACTATAATAGTTTTTATGTTCTTTACACAGCTATAACTATAACAGTTTTTATGTTCTTTACACCGCTATAACTATAATAGTTTTTATGTTCTTTACACCGCTATAACTATAATAGTTTTTATGTTCTTTACACCGCTATAACTATAATAGTTTTTATGTTCTTTACACAGTTATAACTATGAAAGAAGACAACTATCGTGAAGTTATTTCAAATATTGATTTCCTCATTTAAACAGGTTTTTCATAACACACTTTTTTCTTTAGAAATTAGTTCCACGCAGTATCCCTTTTTAAAATCACATTAAGAAATGGATCTATTGTTGTTGTCTCAATTCCTAGGCACGAGTCTAACACAGGGAAGAATAAAATACTGATCCAGTAACTTAATCATCAATAATCTCTCATAGGTCTTACAGCGTGCGCGAGCATTTGAATTACTTATTAAATACCAAACTGATCATAGGAATAAACAAACATGGCTAACCGATGAACAATAGTGCTGAAAATGGATATAAAAAAATAATTTGTTACTTCTCATCTTCTGAAAATACTAATACAAAAACTTAGTCCGCATTTTATATTAAGCTTTATGAACCTAAGTACAATATTCAACTCACTTCGTATTATTTCTTATTTTTTGTCTTTAGTTGGACAAACTTTATTCTTCTGGTATCTTTTATTTTTGACGCGCCATAATATTAAATGTGTTTCAGATCATCGTGTTAAGGTTTAACTTTTGTGTAACTAATGCCTGTTTCTTAATTAGGAATATAATACACTCTAACCTAACAAAGTATGAACTCTCTGAAAATGCATGGGTTTTCAAGGTTCTTTGATTACTTTTTTATTTTCTTAGTATATGATATGTAATTGTTGTGATTACCCTAACTTGCTATACTGATAAAAAACAAAAACAAAACCGGCATATACAAAAAATACACATATTTTTTATGTGAAAACCTTCAGACTTACGTGTACTTCGAAGTCTGAAACAAGTAACTGCATGAAATCTGTCCTCTCCAACCACAGTTAAAATGTGCATATTACTTAGACCAATAACATTGATAATAACGCCTCAGATAAGTGTCGAAGTCTGTCAATGTGAAGTATAGAATAATTCTGAGACTGAGGCGAACTCATTATACTAGTGATTATATAGAAATATTTCACTTATACTCTCAGAAGAAAAGGATGTGAAAAATACAGATCAAAACGTCGATTAACTTTAAAAAGTTTCATGATTTTAATCCATTGACTGCTGATTTGCCGTATAGGGTACGATCCGCCTCCCGCAGTTGAATGCGAGTATGCCGTATACGGTGTACAACTTGCAAAAATTCCGCGCACATTTAGAGCAATGGGTTAAAATCATGAAACTGTTAAAAATTAATCGACGTTTTTTTCAGCATTGACTCGGATATCATCAAGTTACACTTAATTTTTTTCAGCGTTGACTCTGATAACAACAAGTTACACTTAGTTTTTTTTCAGCGTTGACTCGGATATAATCAAGTTACACTTAGATATATATCACTTTCTGTTCGAACATCTCTAAAAGAACTGGTTGATGATATTTCAATCAGCCTCAGAAGGAATGTTACCTTCCTTTTATGATGTGTTCGTTTTAATAACATGGTCTTTTATATGTTTATGATTTTTAAGGAGCCTTCAATTATTATTTTAATGCCTCTAATGAGCGCCCAATTAGCTGAGCACTGAGATTAATAGCAAAATATGTGAAGCAACGCCAAACAAAAGTGATGTTTAAATGCAACGCGTTACAAAGACCCCTTTCTATTCGACGAACGGTTCGCGTACTTTGGCTCAAGATAATGAAAGATGGTGGCCCACACTCGCGTTTACAGCATCACTTCTTAAAGCGTAGTGTTATATGTAGGTGATAAAATCAGTACTATATAATAATGATGAAAATTTATATATAAATGACTAGAGTGAAATTCAAAACTAAAGTCGTTAATCATAACATATTTCAGTTGTATAAACTTATTAAGATTTCAAAATATTACTAGCTGTACATATATAAAACAACATTAGAAAAATCATATCATTTGTCAATAAAGTACAAAATATATATAAGTTTAAAGGAAAATGTCTGCGATAACGGCACCTAAATGTGCTGAGGGTATTCCGACTGACAGACATAATAATAATAATAAAAAGCAAATGAATTACGAGATAGTTGTCACGGAAGATCAGTTCGATGCTGAGTGCCTTAACCTACACAGTTCCATCACCTACTACCATTCACCGTCTGCAGCCAGTTGTGAGTTTGTCAATAACCCCTAAAAATTATTTTAAGATTTGGAAAGTAGCATCATAATGGAAATTAATTTATTGTTAAGAGCCCCTCTTAACTTTTACCTATGTTAAACACCTAATCTCAACCCATTTATACAATTTTTACCAAGTAATAACTGGACTCCCCCTCTCCTCCCTCAAATAAAAAAAAAACGAATAACTGTCATACTCATAAGTGGTTGCAGGGTGGTAGGTGTTGAAACGCAACCAACAGCTAACTCCTAATTGGTTATTCGTGACAGCTACGTCTCGTTGTTCTTTTGCGTTTTTTTTATGTCTGGTAGACGGGATGTCCCCAATGCTTTAGGGGGCTGTTACCGCAGACAATTTCTTTGTCTACAAATTTTACAAATTATACCATTTGTACTTTATTGATAACTGAGGTAATTTTATTGTTTTGTATTATGTATACACTCATATAGTTATGTAGTTTATACAGTTGTGAGTAAATTATGTTATGAGTTTTAAATTTCACACTGTCTGGTTTTGGTTTATATATATCTATATTACTGATACCCAAGAACCACATATTTTCTGACATTTTCGTGTAGTAAAACCCTTAATCTTTGTAACCAAAAATATCTTCTGTTATAATACAAAAGACCTAATTGGTGACGTGACAACTTCGTATCCCTAATCACGGCAGGACAATATTAAGACATTTCAATCACCATATAATGGACTCGCAGATGGTGGTTTGTAACTAAAATACTGGGTCTAGTTACATTGTTAATTCTGGTTATTATTATTATTTTATGTACGTAATTTCAAGATGAAGCAAAACAGAATGTCTCTAAAACCTAGACAAAAGTTTTCACGGAAATAGTTTGTATTGGTAATAGACTATCACAAAAAAGTATAAGTACTGTTTTAATCACTATATTTTGCAACGCAATAACTCCATTTCTTTTTTTCATGTATTGACTTACATTGATCCCCCTGAAAAAGTCATGTCTACGGTTCGTACATGACGAAATATTTATTATAGAGTATAAGGTTTGTCAGAAGAGTTAACAATAATAGGTATAATCTATTGTCTTTTTTATATAAATATATCTTACGTAGAAGCAGGAATTTTCCTCTACTTTTCTCAAGTTTTGTGGTAAGACAAATCTTTTAAACGGGCTACATGACAAAATCTCAACCTACTTTATGTTTGAAAGGAATACAGGTTGTCAATAGATTATTGGAATACTTTCTTACTTGAACATAATAGGAACCATACCAGATAAATTGTTGCGGTCTATGACATGTGGAAGACCAATGCCCGAAGTTTTTTACACGTATTTAGATGGAGGTATGTGAAGGGCATTGTCAGTAAGACATAGGTACCATTATTACTCCGAGATGTTGACAAGTACACGTAGTGGAAGGAAATCGATTATCGACTGGACACGAAAGGTGTCCATGTCAAGGTGTTCTAACGACGCCACTGGCCAAGAACAAACTCAGTGTGTTAGTCTTCATTATACAGCAAGTCGTAATTGTTTATCTTGTGTAGTTCTCATTATATTTAATAAAGCAATTCAATAATTCATGGACGCCCTGTATTATAAAATATGATGTGTCTATGTGGAAATCATGAAATTATACAGTGTAAGAAAAACGTTTAATTAAACAAAACTTGAAAATATTGCATAAAGTGCAGTTTTAGAATTTAAATTTATTTTTCAAATTTAGTTTCATAACTCGACGCATTACCAATTACAATGGTAAAAATATTTATGTCTAAGAATAAACATTTATTTCTTATATTATTTGTGGTCTAAACATAGACCACGAAATCACACATTGTTTCATTGGAATCTCAGTTTGATATTCCTACGAACAATGTTGATTTAAGGATTTTTGATAGCCCTTAAAATATATCACTAACTCGGAGTTACGATCTGCTATATTTGGTGAAATATTAATTCTGTTATAATTCTATTCTTTTTTTACACATGTTAACCAATTTTGCACCAATTTTACGAAGTTCAACATGTTCACTTGTAGTTTTATTATTTTGGTTATATATATTTAAATAAGCTTTACTTGAAGTGTTCGATGAAGATTTAAATCGAGTTCTGGAACCAACTCTCACCCTATTGATACTATAATAAACTATGATCAGTTTGTTTGAGTCAATCATTTATGTAGTTGATACAGAACTTAAGTAGATTAGTTTCTACTCTTAGGTCTCACACATACACAACATGCAATAAACAGGACTTCTGTAAAAAAGAAAGCCCTATCTAAAAATGGCTTAAAATGACTTTCGACAACTAGGAGTCTTCGGAACAGCAATAATGTGGCTTGGAATGATGTTGAAAGGTTTCAACATAACTATAACATCATTCCAAAATAATAACTGCTTTCAATTGTTCTAGGGATTTTCGTGCTGAAGAGGAAACCATATAATGGTTCAATGGACTGAGATTTGGTGATTTTACAGGCTGAGTTTGTTTTCTGTTCCGGTTATTCTCGCAAGGTTGCACAATGTTGAACCGAGAGAAGGCAGCTAGTCAACAATGCTACTCTTGAAGTGCTTTAAAGAAACAGTGGGACTTGACCGCAGTCTTGTAACATACCCACGACCTCAAAGAGTTAGCTTGATTCTTCGGCAACGTAATGCGAACCAAAGAGTTTGGGATTGACAGTTCGGTACCATTAATCACTGAATATATACATCTGAACTGTCTGCACACCTTATGATTGAAAATAAACACCCGAGTGTACAATTCTTGGGCTATCTCTACACACAGACATGCTCACTTGACGTGGAAGGCGTAAACGTTGACGTACCTGACTAGATCGCTTTTTGCTCGTGCCATACAGTTTTTAAACTGATTGTTGGACTCAATTACTAAAATCTGAGTATAATTTTGTTACTATAGTCTTCCAGTTGGGTTTCATAATGCAATTCAGTATACGGTGGAGACTATAGTTTAAATTTCAAGTTTAGCCGCACCTTCAAGAGAAATCATGACACCTTATCCAACAATACCAAGGCAACTGCCAGGTTTAAAACAGACTAAGGACTTTGTCATTTCAATAATTATGCGGGTACCCTTAACGCAAATGAAAATTTGAAGACAAATGTTTAGATAGCAACTACTACTACCACCTTCAACATTATTCATGTTCGTCTATCTTGCATTCATGTCATTGGTTTATATACTTAAAGAATGAATTAGATATGTCATAACAGAATGAAGTCTGCTTTAGTATTATCATACGTAAAACTTGATGCTTCAGTTGGTGTCTTAAACCAACATTTCTTAAGTATGAGTATTTCTTCGGTCCTCCAAGACCATTTATTTTGTATGTTCCAGCATTTCTAAAGTCTATGGAAATTTATACTTTAAACAGACGCCTTGTTTGTTATTGAACAGCCAAGAATAGAGTATACCGCATCTTCACAGAGTCACACTATCTCAGTAATATCAAGTCATGTGAGAAATTTGTTTTTTACATGATTAATAAGTTGATGCTACAGAAATTCCATATTATTATCAGTTGTTTTGCAAAGCACTATCTTTTAAAGCTTTGGTATAGCATAACTACAACTACCGTCACCACACGAATACGGTTGGAAACAAGGCAAAGAAGAACAACTGATATCAGTTCTGATGACAAACCTCACGGTTTCACCTACTTGCATAAAACTGCTCAGCTACGAGTGAAATCTTGTTACTATCCCTCCCTCAGCAACCGCTGGAAGAATAGTCTGTTATACACGGAGGCCTGTAGCTGCTCGTATGGCAACTTTGTCTGCCTTAGTCCTAATAAACCCACTGCTTTCTTTTGAGGCTTTATATAGTTAATAAATATTTGATAGTTTACGTCAGTCGATGTGTTACCGAATGTAAAATTCAGATATAGCATTATTTATGAGATAAAGATTTTCGTTGAATAGAGTTTTGGTTCTGTTTATCATGTGTATTATTTGAGCTGCAGAGTCATTTTCACTTATCTAATACATCTGAGAAAGTGAAGATATCTAAATTAGGATTTTGTGTACTGTTGTACTACAGTATATATAATTATTTGGTTTTTGTGTCTAATCTTTGCTCTGTGATTATCCATACTATGGAGGACATAAATATTGTTACAACGTTCTATAGCAAAAGTTGTGTTTGTAATCATACTACCTCAGCATTAAAGTTTTGTATTGTTAAAGAAAATTATCTTCACCATATCTGAACACAATGCCAGCTTGACACTAGGGTGTTTAGTGCTCCTTAATAGTTCTGTTGAGAGCCTCACCAAGGAATCCATTATTTTTGTAATTTTAGGTGCAACAAACTCACTTTTTTAAACAACGTTATAGAAAACAGCTTCCTATCTAGTATGGATTGGCCCCAACCATACATTATGGTTTATTGCAGCTGTTGCAATTTGCAATCCACAAAAGTTACCACTAATGAGGTTTTTGTTGTTGACACATTAGACATTTGTGCAGTTTGGCTACAGATGAAAATGTCGGGAGTCGATATGACCCTGTCCCCCAGTGGTACAGCGGCATGTCTGTGAATTTACAACGCTAGAAACCGGGTTTCGATACCCGTGGTGGGCAGAGCACAGATATCCCATTGTGTAGCTTTGTGATTGACTTCAAACAAACAAAAGATATGACCCATAAAGCTTTTTAACACATTTCTCTAAATACTTTATTCACCAATTTTCTTGTAGTACCAAATAGATAATGCTCTTGGTAATATATGACAAACAAAATATAAGCAAAATACCATCATTATTGTAATTAATCAAAATATTATCAATATTATGATTAATCAAAATATAAACAAAATACCATCATTATTGTAATTAATCAAAATATTATCAATATTATGATTAATCAAAATATAAACAAAATACCAT